TCCCAGTCGCTATAGGACTAAAGGTCAAATACTTTGCATTTTAAACGTGTCGTTTTTGTATCTTGAATATTGGCTGTTGGAATCCGAATTCACACCGATGAGCATCTTCTTGTCCACCAAGTCAAGCTTTCCGGCGCACTCGCCATTGTCGAATCTTACTCCTGGCTCGGCTGTGGGTAAAAAGCTGTGTGTTGGTTTGGCTTCGGGTTGAAATGAACAATTTACAAGGGCGATAGGTGCTTTTGACCTTTTTTCTCCGTGACTTGCCATTTTCTGTAATCGTTAACCGCCAACGCGTTTTGTGCGCGAATGTAAGATTGCACCAGCGTGACAAAAGGAATCAGTAGTGCATCACAGTAACAGAGGCGTAGTTCCACAAAATGAGTTGGGGGGGGGGGGGGGGGGGGGGGGCTCAGCAGTCATAAATACCCAACCTATCACAAAATACGTCAACCAACAAGTCTGTAAAGGGATTTGATTGACCCTCTTTCTTCTCAAGGTTAGGGGGACCCTGTCCAACTGGAGGGGATGGGGGAAGAATTTGAGGCAGTTGAATTCCGGGTAACATAAAAGTAAGATTTACGTATTTTGCAAAACTTGCCTTCAAACCGGCAGTTGTGCGCTCTGTTCCAGTTCCTAAAATTCAATTTCCTGTTTATCTTCTTTAAATTGGATCAAGTGAACTTGGGCAAAACCAAGTTTAGAGCCTGGACTGCAGAATGAGATCGGCCGCAATATGGATGTGCGCTGCATTTCTGTACTGGTTTCGTGTTCAAACAGGGCTGTCATATACATACTGCCTACAAAACCGTGCATCTGTCCGCACCTTTGTCGATCTGTTTGTCCTCTCATGCTTGCTAACTCGTTTGCAGGTTAAACAGAGGACAGTAAGGCCCTGAACAGCCCGCACGTTCGAGCGTGAGGAGTGCAAGTGAATGATGACACAGTACAGGGACTGAGCGCCTTGCGTTGGTGGGAAGTTTCATTATTAACATCATAGGAACGCGGTGTACATCGTGTACGTAGTGAAATACGATGAGCGGGAATCAAGCCGTTGAAAATATATTCACTTTGTTGCGCAAGAAACAATGAAAATTGGAATCACCATTTGAAGGACACCGATTAAAGTGAAGAATGCAAGAGCACAAAATGCAGTATCGCAGTTCAAGGACGATCTTGGCTACTGTTTGTGTAGATGACTTAATCAGCAATACTTGGTACTAGCGGAGATGTCACAGTAGTAAGTATTCGACAAACTGTGAATTGTGGATCAGACTGAAGATGTTTAGTATGGAGAGATTGCGTCAGTGGTAATATAGCCTTAAATGCCATGATAGAGGTAATGCCAGCATGAGTGGCTTGGAGCTTCCGGCAAACAAACAAGGCGCAAAGATAACAAACCAACAACCTAGCACAGACCGTCCTTTGAACTTCACACCGATTCATTTGCACGTCCTGTTATGAAAAGTCGGGCTCGTTCTGTTAGATATACATTCCAGTGTTACCAGTGCTTGCAATCTTAGGCTTAACAATTAGCGCTGTGAAAACTCTGCTGCTATGGACATTTCGCAAAGTGTTTATTTAGTGATTTTGTAGCCAATTCCAATTTGGACACCGATTCGCCAAGACACTCGTTTGCTTACTGACATGCACGTGAAGTGTCCAAGATGATTTATTTGACACACATACACATGCCATCAGCTTGCATGCAAACAAACGTCATGCCGTTTCAGGTTGACGTGTATGATGGATGCCAGGGAAATCGTACCGCTGAAGGATACCGCGTCAATAATAACGGTGGATATAGCACTGCACGCTATTGGTGCCCCTGGACTCATGCCATTCATTTAGTTATATACGACATATATGTTTTTGTTTACGTTGCATTGTTTTCCCCGTACTTGTTCTCTGTGCGTGTAGGTATGATCAAGATATGTTGTGAAATTCGTCCGTTGTTTTCGGCCCGTTCTGTGTGACGTTCTGTTAGACACTGAGGTACGCGAATGCAGTGTCCATGGCTGATGTCCATGGCTGATGGCCAAGCTTCTGATTTCAGCTCAGGAGCACCGTAATCCGCATTCAGAACTGCGCAGAAGTCCGTTTGCGTTCAGCACAGTTTGTTCTGCCGTTCCCTAGTAAGAGGGCCGAGCGAGCGAGCCGCCACGTCTCCGGTCCGGGAGAACACTCGAGGCACTATGACAGCACCACCCAAACACCGCTCTCAGGCCGGCCAGTGTCTGTTTTTGTCGGGGAAGGACATTCGGTGGGGCAGATCATTTATCACAAGGGGCGGAGCTGCGGGGCTGCCACTGCCGGGCAGGGCAGACAACAGGAGGAAGCACGCGCCTGCTGCGAAAAACAGCGCTGCGACCTCCAGTGACGCATCACTGGTCCTGATCAGTGACAGGACATCTTGTGTGCAGCGAGTTGCACATGTGTTTTGCAAGTTACCATCCCGCGGTGTGGACAGCTCGAGCCCACTGGTCGGATGGTATGCGCAGACTTCTTCGTCGGCCGGACAGACAAGGTTGAGCTGGGGTCAGCCGGACAGACGAGGTGAGCTGAGGCCAACAGGACAGACGAGGCTGAACTGAGGTCAGCCGGACAGACGAGGCTGAGCTGAGGTCAGCAGGACAGACGAGGCTGAGCTAAGGTCAGCAGGAGAGACGAGGCTGAGCTGAGGCCAACAGGACTGACGAGGCTGAGCTGAGGCCAGCAGGACAGACGAGGCTGAGCTGAAGTCAGTGAGACATATGAAGGTGCGCTGATGACAGTCAGGACACTTGAAGCTGAGGGCGCGCAAAACAGGAGGTCAGGGACGCTTGGGAGGACACCCGGTGCCCCTGGGCGGGGCTGTGCTTGCGTCAGCTGTGCCAATGACACTGTGCTGCTTTGTAGGTTGCGCAGCGGGAGCTGAGCTCAGGTCCAATACACAGAAAAAACTGGCTTGTCAAAACGTCTCATCCGAACGCCCCCAATCGGTGAACATGAACTCTTTTCTCGTCACTGTCGCCTTATCACTATCCTTCACACACGTATTTCCTACCGCGGGCAGGCAAAAAGGACGGCGAAGGCTGTGGCCCGCAGAGTGCTGCCCCCTTTCGACCGCTTCATTTAGGTCCGAAGTGTCACCAACCATAAAACCGCGTCACAGTTCTTCTCCCGTTCTAGTGATCATCGCATGCGTGACTTCAGCTGCTGTGTCCAGCATCATACCTCCCCTGCCTGGCTTTCTGGAGGAGTCACTGTCAGAGAAGCAGCACCGTGCTAGCTCGTGCCCACACGGTATGCAGGCACAGTAGGGCGTTGGGCCGAAGTGCTGGGGTCAGGTGAGATGGACTGACGGACAGTGAACTGAGGTCAGCCGAAAGAGTGGCAGCCTGTCGCTGTGCTGGGGTCAGGTCAGCCCGGACAGCTGCAGCTGCCTTGGGAGCTGCCAAGCTCAGCTGCCACCGTCATCCCTCGACAGTACAGCTGCCAAGCTCAGCTGTCCCGTCATCCCTCGACAGTATAGCAGCCAAGCTCAGCTGTCCCGTCACCTCTCGACAGTACAGCTGCCAAGCTCAGCTGCCACCGTCATCCCTCGACAGTACAGCTGCCAAGCTCAGCTGTCCCGTCACCTCTCGACAGTACAGCTGCCAAGCTCAGCTGCCACCGTCATCCCTCGACAGTACAGCTGCCAAGCTCAGCTGCCACCGTCATCTATTGACGGTTCAGTTGCCAAGCTCAGCTGCCAACGTCATCTATTGACGGTTCAGCTGCCATGCTCAGCTGCCACCGTCATCTATTGACGGTTCAGTTGCCAAGCTCAGCTGCCAACGTCATCTATTGACGGTTCAGCTGCCATGCTCAGCTGCCACCGTCATCTATTGACGGTTCAGTCGCCAAGCTCAGCTGCCACCGTCATCTATTAACGTTTCAGCTGCCAAGCTCAGCTGCCAACGTCATCTATTCACATCACAGCTGCCAAGCTCAGCTGCCATCGGCATTAACAGTACAGCTACCACCGTCATCTCTCAACAGTACAGCTACTACCGTCCTCTCTCAACAATACAGCTTACACTATCACCCCTCGACAGAACAGCTACCACCGTCATCCCTTGAGAGAACAGCTACCATCATCATTCCTCGACATTATTGCTATTGGGCCCAAATGCCCCGTCACATCTCGGCCGTTAAGTTGCCGAACTCTTCTGCACAGTCGCCTCTTCACGGTTGCGTGGTCAAACCATCTGTGACCGTCACCCCCTGACGGCTCAGCTGTCAGGGCCAGCTGCCGTCGTCGCCTCCCGGCGGTCGAGCTGGCGCTGAGCGACGCCTGCAGCCAGCTCCCGGGAAGACGGGTGTTAATGGACCATTGAAACGCTGCTCACACGCCCGTCAAACGACTGTGCTGCGTGGGCGGCGCAACTCATGACACGGAGCGTCCCCGGACAGCTCTGATAACGTGACCGGTTAGGGCATGGCAGCAGCCCCGCACACCAGCGGGGTTTTCCGCATGGTTTCCCGTGCCGCGCGTCCCCAGAGCTCTACACGGCGCAAACCTGGCGCGTTTGCGACCTGAGCGCCTTCACGGCCAGGGTGCCGGGTGCAGGTCACACAGTCACTAGCTCTAATGGCCTACTTTGGGTCACCGAGCAAGCACGCCTCGTGCCCGTCTCACCCACCTGTCTCATCCCGGCTGGATATCGCCGGCGAGCCGTAGTCACGGGTACTTGCACGTACCAGGTACCGGCGTTTAGCCTCTCTTATTTTCGCGACCAAGGCTTCTGCAAAGTGCTCATGCGCACCTGCATTGCACAACATCATTCGCAGAATACAAATTAGCAGTGTTACATCACTAACACAGAATCGTCTTTCCTTTCGTCTAGAACGTTCTTCGCTGTTTTAAAAAACGTCCAAATCCAGGCGGACGGTCGGGTGCGCAGAGGTCTACTGCGCATACCTGCCGGCCGGCCCGGTGAGCCTGGAAGGCCTCATTCAGTGCTTGACGTCGGGCGCGGTGTGGCTGCGGGGCCCAGCGAGTTCGCCATGGATCTGTGAGCCCCGGCAGAGCTGTGATAGTGCCAAAAACAATGGAGGTGTATGTGTGTTGCGTGCTTGCGCTCCTAGTCGGGCGGCTACCGGCCACACAGCAATACGTGGCCCCCAAAGGTGAGGCCCGGCGGCTACTTCCGCCTTCTTGCCCCTCAGCGCGGCCGTGGCACGGCACCGCTCCCCTGGCGGAACCAGGCCGGGTCCGGCCGCTTGACCGCGGGCTCCACTGTTTTGCCTGGGGCGTCGGTCGGGGTCACGGCGTTCGTGCGGCCCGGTTCTGACCGCTCGACTAGTGGTGACGCCTGGCGGCAGTTCGTGGCATGAGGCCGGCGGCCTGGAGTCAGTGGTGATGGATTACCACTGGATTATATAAGAGTGCACCCCCTATCTGCCGAGAGCTGGAAGAAAAGGCAATGGTGATAGCGTTTGCGGTGTCCTCGGATCCGGGATTCGATTCTCGCCATCTGCTTGTAGTTGGCGTCATGTGGGCATCCCTGCCATTGAATCTTAAGTCCCGTGCAAGAAGCGGGGGAGGGGGGGGGGGGGGGAGGTACCGTTGCTGCACAGGAACAACGTCATCACTTACTCTGCTCATGACATGGAAGATATGCTGTGACACCTACCCCCTCCGTAATTGCAACCTCTGCCGGGTATCCAAGACGCCTTAAAAGAGTACAGCAGTTAGACCAGTTATAGCCTGCATTTTTTACTCGCCACGGTAATGAATGATCGAGGGAGCGCTTTTTATTGGATCTTCGGCTGCCAGCGCGACGACCGGATGGTTTTTATTGTCCTCAGTCTTTTCTGACACGGTCCAGTGGCGGGGCGGTCTCAGCTCCCAGGACAAAACGCGCCATCAGACATGATGGCGATATCGCGTCCCATGCGGCCGGCTCCGCGGGCGGCGGAGCCCGGCCGAGCGTGTTGCGAACGGAGTCGAGGCGGCGGGCCGGGCCCACACGGGCGACGCCGCTGACGTGGCCGCCGGGTGGCGGCCCGGGCACGCGGCGGCGGCGGCCGCGGCGGCCAGTCCGCTGCCGCGCCGCTGCTGCCCGGACCCGGTCGGCCGCCCCGCCCGGCCAGACGCCCACGCGGGGGAAGACTCAGTCACGACTCAGACTCACAGTCACGGCTCAGACTCACAGTCACGGCTCAGATCGCCAGTCGCGGCTCGCGAGCCACCGCTACAGGTTAAGCTCTTGGCGGCAGAGCAGGCAGAGAGGCGGGGGCATGCGCTGAGCCGAGGAACGAGCTCTTAGTCATGCCAGGCTTGGGGGAAAAGGTCAGGCTCAGGTCATGGGGTAGTCTCACGGCCCAGGGAAGGCTTAGAGTCAAGGGTAGATAGCAGGGCCCATCGCAGACAGGGCAGACCAGCCAAGGGACAAGCGTTAAGGCAAACGTTTAGATCCACTTTTGTTGTTGTTTATTGGTGTTTTCGGGCGTGTCAACTACGATGGTCGTTTTGCGCCCAGTTTAGACCCACTGTCACGGTACAGACTCCAAGTCGCGAGACAGGCTCACGGCGGTGGGGCAGTTCCAGGGCAGGCAGGGCGGATGACATGGTCGCGACCCCACTGACAAACACAGGGCAGATGGAGTGACGGCCCAGACGACTCAGTCACGGCCCAGACGGCTCAGTCACGGCCCAGACGACTCAGTCACGGCCCAGACGGCTCAGTCACGGCCCGAGGCCGCAGGTCGCGGCTCGTCACCTCGCAGACTTTCGGCCGCGGCACGGATTTGGACCTGCGGCACAGACTCGCTGCGACGTGGCAGAGTCACAGTCATGGCTCTGACTCACCGTCACCGCCCAATGTCTGGAGCCATGGCTAGGACTCACGCTCGCGACCTGGACCGACGGCCGCGACTCTGACTCAGAGCGAAGGCGGCGCTGGCCGCCACGTGGCGCAGTCGCGGTCACGGTCCGGGCGGGCGGTCACGGCTACGCTCGGCGCACGCAGAACAATCGGGGCTCGCCGCCGTCCGCCCACACTTGACGCGGGGCGGCCCGCCCGGCCGCCACCTGGCGTCAGTCCTACGAAGGATGGTCTCGCAGAGCAGTGCGCTGGGCCCAGTGAAACGCATTGGCGCATCGTCGGTGTTTGTACGGATCCTACCGGCAAAGCAGAAAATATATGGCGACGTGGCTCGTTAAGCTGTTTGACCTATATATTGAACCAAAAACGTGTCTACGAGACTCGCGGCAGACGGCGGCACGTCCTTCAACCGGCCGTGTCCGCCGTGCACACGTTGTGTGCCATCCGCTGCTCTCGTCTTCACCTGAGTTCCGTTGCCTAATCCAGACACGTAATGTCCCTGGCCCACAGACGGAACCGTGTTGCAAGCTCGGCCTTGGTGACCCGGGTGGAGGCCTTGTTTTTGGTACCCGATCTTGCATGCAATTAAAGATGCTGCCGGTTACAGAAAAGGCCATTGAAATGGAAAATGTGAGTGCACTGCTGCCAATGTATTGCGCAAACAAAGCAGTGTTTTTTTTTTTACTTAAAAATATGAGCCACCCATCTTAACACTTTCTTGGCGTTAATGCCGGTTTCTTTTCCACAAAACTTGCCGTCCTTCGTTGGGCATGGGCCTTAAGTTCCCAGTGTACGCTAGCTAGCACTAAAGCCGTGGTAAGGGCGCCTGTTTTTATCAGTGTTCGCCCCTCTGGTCGTTAGGCTCCCTTCACCCCTGTGTCCCGCCCCGACACGCCGGGTAATTGAGCTCCAAAACGCGTCAGTTCCCGAATAGCGGCGAATAAGCCAGATGATTTCGGAAGACGAGCTGGCCGCCAGTGTAAGTTTGGAGAACGAGTGATTATAAAACACAGTCCATCAACACTCCCGCATCTAGAAAACAATAGAAGGGTGCGCTTCGCAGTCATGTACCAGGTCAGGGTCATGTTGTTGAGCGCGCCCAGGCATCTACAGATGGCATGTGCTCACGGCGGTGTTTGTGACGTCGTGGATACCTGGTATGGGTCGGAAGGCATGGTTTGTGGACGGATATTTGTGCCCGGATATTGACGCATGGCTGTATGTCGACCTTGGGCCGGCCGGCTCCAAACGAATGGCCTCAGCTCCGAATGCAATATTTGGCTTTTCCTGCCATCTCGCTGCGAACTCCGCTTGTTGCGAGATCTGACCGTGCTGGTGCAAATGCAGAGCGTTGCCGTGCTATTGTTTTCATTCAGGCAGGTGTCGTGAGCTGAACTCGAAGCACAGGGACGGGGCGGACCGCCAGGCGGGATCATGTGTTGTGGCTCGGCGCTGAGTCGCTGGTCGAGCCGGTCCGGTCGGTGGCGAGCGCTGAGGCGCGCCATGACCCGACCCCGGTGACGGCGGCCGCTCTGTTTCAGACGCCAGTGGCGACACGCTGCGGCTGCGGCGAGCAGCTCAGTTCGAAACGCTGACAACACCCTCCTCCGTCGGCGTTTCTACCGGTAAGTGCGCTCCGGGAGACCCTTCTGTCGTTTTTCTTCTCACCAGTCTCACCTCAAGAATGGTATGCTCCCAAACTCAGCTTTGTGTGGAATTATACCAAAAGTGGTATTTCCGTCTGTTTGTAATGTCACTTTCTCCGTTTGCTCCATGTCGGTATGGATGGGTGGCGTTATGGAAGGCAGTGCACTGCTCCATGACCTCCGTGCCACCAGCATCACATTTCATGAATATCAAAACTCACGAACTCACCACAAAAGTAACGGAACCCGCACAACCACCCAGCTCACGCTGCTCTGGTGGCAGAAATGGGGGGCTCCAGATCCCCTGGAAAATACCGTCATACCTGTTGGCTGCTGCTTTTGTTGGGCCCATAAACATTCAGCGAATCGAACAATATAGGTGAATCGCAGCACATGCATTCCCCTGGGTTCTGCGATGGCCGGATCGTGCGCTGTCACCTTCCGGCTCGTGATTCGCGGTGATTCGTGATCGACGGGCGGCTGGTCTGCGTCAGGTGGCAGTGGTTCGTGTTCCCCGACCCAGGCGCGCGCCGGGCCGCCGGGAGTTCGCTCGGAGGCGGGTCTACCGCACGTGATGAGGGGGACCGAGAGCGTGGCTGAGGTCAGGCATACCATTATGTAATTTCCTGTCTTTTCTATCGGTGCAGTCTCACGTCGGAGCAATTACGTGGGTACGTCTGCTTGTAGAGTAGTGAGTAGTGAGTAGTCAACATGATTACGTCTTCTACGTGCACCATTACAATTTTCGGAAACATCGCCGAGCATGCAGGCTGGTCGGGTTAGTATTCATGGCCTGATGCTACAACGTAGCATACGTTGTTTGAAACTTGGACTTCCTTCCTTATAGATTCCTTGCCGGCATATATTCCCATTTTTTAGAGCGCTGCCGGAGCAGCAACTGCACACACATGCCCGCATACCTACTCATCAACGCATGGTTGGAACGCGGCACCAAATCCGCATGACTCCTCGAAACAATGGAAACACGACGCCACAAAGCCAGTCGCATGCCTAAGCCGCTGCTTCTTTCACCGAGCTGAAAGAACGCGGTGGAGGCAGGCCGTCACTGACGAGCGCCTCACCGTGGTCGTCGGGATGTCATTGAGGCCGGCGTCCCTGGTTCCTGGTGGGGTACGATTTAGGGCGTTCCGAGTAGTTGACAGATCATGTGGGCGGGAGGGAAGGAGGGAGGGGGGGGGGGGGGCGTAATTGTTATCTGCGGCAGACGTTTTATAGGACACAGCTGCTGAAAAGTCTCTCTCGGTGTTTGCAGTCTGTACTGACTGCTCAGTGCCAATGGACGGCAACGGCAAAAATAAATGCGTTGCTTCCCTCTCGGAGTGTTTTGGGGTGCACATTGAATGTTGACTTTACCACTGATGAATATGTCCGAGCGATAGTAGCTGGCCCACATGGTAATGACAGTCTTGGTGGTGATTATTGTATCCTGTTACAAGCGCTGTATATCTATTGGAACCAATCACGCTCACAATGGCACCAGTTGTGAGCTGTCTTTCATTGGCTGTGTATTTCCTGAGGTAATTCAGTGTCATAACTCCCGCCACAGCCTGTAAACCAACCAGACACTAAAGGCTTTACCGGTCAATCCACGTGCACCGAAGGACCTGGGTCGCCTCGCTGACCCAGCCGAGTCCACCAGCTGGGTCAGAGAGGATCGGCACCTGGATTCCAGCGACACGGACCTGGTGGTTGGGTGCTGGATCACTCTCGATGATCCCGGCGCCAGGTGCGGATCCAGCCGCCGTGACGGCGACACTGCTCGGCGTCGCGGCGGGGGCTGGCGCCGGCCACACCTGGGAAACACACCGTCTGCGCCACTGAGAACTGGAAACAACCCACGCGGACACGATCCGATCACATTTCCTCTCTTTCTCCTTCTAACGGTGCGGCGTCTGAGCGGCCTGCACCCGGGGGAGCCGCCGGCGGTTCAGGTCCTGGAAGCCCACCGGCCGCACCAGTCAGCTGTGGCGGAGGTGGCGCCGGCTGCACACGGGGCGGTGACGAGGAAGGGCGGCGGCGCGTGACGCGCGCCAGCTCAGGCGCCCGCCTCAGGGTCGCCAGCTGAGGGCACCGCCCGGCCGCTGGCGCCCCTCCGGTGCTGGCAGCGCCCGCAGTCGGCATCAGCTGGGGTGCTCCATTGTGCTCGGCCAAGGGCCAGCCGCAAAGCCGTACAAGGTCTGGGCGATAGAATGTCGGCTTTTCCGTCATGCCGGTTGTCTTACGCCACCACTGGTCACGCTGCTCGTGCCCTGCTGTGCCATGAAAACCGCCAGCGCCCGCTTCTGGAAATGCTGCCGCTGCTGCTGCTAGGCGCATTTGACTCACGGCTCGTGGACCGAGGCCCCGACCCTGCTCGCTCAAAACAGCGGGAAAGTCGGCGAGACTAGATACCCACTGGGGTCACGACACAGACCCCTGCGCCAACGCAGCCCGACCCCGGCCGCGCGCGCGCCAGGAGCCGGCGGCCGACGGCGGCGGCGGCAGCGGCAGCGGCAGCGGCAGCGGCGGCGGCGGCGGCGGCGGCGGCGGCGGCGGCGGCGGCGGCGGCGGCGGCGGCGGCGGCGGCGGCGGCGGCCCTGACCGTGGCGGCGGGCCTCAGCCGGTGCCACGTCACTGGCCGGCGTCGGCCCGAGCCAGCCGACCGGTCCGCCTCGCCGCCGCCGCCGCCGCCGGGGCGCGCTGTCGTCAACCGGCCCGCGTGACGCCCGGCGCCGGACCGGAGAGGCGCACTCAGCCAGCATCGCACCCCTGGTCTGGGGGCTGCCGGTCAGCTGCTGCTCGCCCGTCTGGGGTGTGTTGACCCGCGCCCCATGGGGCTCAAAGCTCGGGAGTGGACTAGTTTGGCAAGGAGGTCTGTTCGTTTATGAGGCCCAGACCTGCAAAACTCTACTTGGTGTAAGCGACAGCACTGAACACTGATGATAAGGATGCCCTTTTGTTTCCGGAAAGCCCAAACACGACCCACCGCTCACCTTGTTCACCTGGCATTTAGTTGATCTCTCGCAACCTTTTATGAACGCACCCCAGTTTCTGCTGCCACACCATTTCCCTGCATTTCTTCTTTCAGTAGTCGTGTCGTTTTTCCAGTTGCTAGTTTTCTTGTCTGTTTTGCCAAAATGGGGCCGTTCTCGGCACAACTGGTACCTGCCGTGCCAGGGGGCGTTGTCGGCCGTGTGACGCGGCAGCCTGTTTGGCGATGACGGACCGGGCGCCGACGCACGTCCTGTATTGAGCAATTCTGCACGATTTCCTGTCGTGGTTTTCACGTGTGTGCAGGGGTAAAAAGTAAATGGGGATTGTGCGTATTCTGTAGATAACGCGCTTGTAAGAAACGTTAGCTTTGTTGCCGGGGTCGACGACGTTCCCAAGCGACTCATTTAAGGAATGTGTCCACGTGTTGTCCCATTTAACTGGTCGGGGACTTTTCCAAACCTGTCCGATATGAAGCCATACTATTTGAAAAACGCTCTCACCGGCATTGGAAGCAGGACGAGAAGCTTCGTTTCTCGTCAACTGAGTCGCGACATGACACGTGAATACTTTTATCATGGTCGCCACGTCTCGGTGGCCATTTTGAACCTGATGAGCTCCACAACTTACGTTTTATTTTGGTAGCGTTAAGATGTTATTACTGACGATGAGCTGAGGCCCGGCGTATTTTATTTCTCCACAAACTGGAATACGCACGTCTATAAAGCAGTCCGCGTTGAACTGAGGGCTGAACAGTCGTCCATCAAGCATGGGTCGGACCAGGTGCCCGGTCCGCGAGAGAAATCGTTCACAACCTCACTGCGTCAGGTTGTCGGGGGCGTTATATAACCTGCTATTTTGAAAACGTCTGTCTCGTCGGATCGTCATGCGGAGCACGCAGTAGGGGACCGTTGTGTTGTGTTATATAACTGGAGGTTTCAGAAGCCTTCCATGGCTCATTGTCAAATGAGCCATGGCTCATTTGACAATGAGCCATGGCCATTGGCGGTGGTTTTGCCATGCGGTTACGTAACCGAAGATTTCGCACATTTCAGCTGGAGACCTCGGTGCCTGTTGCAATACTTTCTTATGCCGATATTGTGTTGGGTTGCGGGGAGAACATGTCCTTGAATGCACTTCATGTGCCAGCTGGCGAATTATTAGATGCACACGTTTGAGTGCCGGTGGTGCTGTCCGCATCTCAGACCATGTTGTAAGACGTCGGCTATCGTCCATATCTCATCTAGGACACGCAGCGGGCGCAAATTAAGACAGTGTTCATTAATTTGTTGGGACATGTGAGCAGGCGTGTGTTCGCCTCCGCTCCAGCAGAGTCGAGATCCAAACCTCGACTCACAGCGCATGGTAAATTCCGACTCTAACTACGAGAACTGCAGCACAGCTGCAAGGGAGCTCCAATACCGATTCATGGAGACTTTAGGGGAAACAACGGCACGCCTAGATGTGTTCCTAGCCGGACTTCGCCCGGACAGCACCCAACTTGGCTTCCATACCAGAACACAAGCTGGCTTCGGGTGTCTGGTAACCTAAGCAACCCGGTGCGTCCGGTGGCTCGGCACGTTCAGGTGCCCGACACGAGCCGTACCTTGGCGAACGCCGCACCGTCGAGCGGCGACAAACGCGGCGCGGAGCGCCGGCCGCCGCCGCCGCCGCCGCCGGACCGTGGCCTCGATCGGACCGGACGCCGTCGGCACTGCCGGAGCGACGCGCCGCCGGCCGGCCGCCCCGCCCGGCTCATTGTCGAGCCGAGCGCGGCCAGACCGAGCGGCCGTTTCTCCGGCGGCCGCTGTGAGCCACCGGCGATGACGTCGACGTCCGGACGGCGACGTCATCGCCGGCGGACGGCGGCGAAGCCGGCGGCAGGACCGGTGCCACGGAGCCGAGCCGGGCGCGTCACGTGATGCTGGGCGGTCAGCTGACCGGCGGCGTGATTTGAGTGGTCGCCGACCGCCCCGGGACCTGTGTGT